CCTGGGTGAAGGCCCCACTTCCCAGTTCTGACCTGAATCACAGACTGGACTGACACAACCCCTCCTTCCAAGTGGTGCTCTGGTCATTTCGTGGTAGATAGTTCCAGCCACAGTTCAAGGCCATCCAGGGGCCCCGTGTCCACTGCAGTGGGAAGCGGTGGTCAGCCTGGGCCGGCGGCTCTACTCCTAGTGCCTCTGTGGGCTTCAGGCCCCTCGGTTAGAGAGAGACCGGCCACGGAGGCTGGGGACCGGCCCGCCCTGCCTCACCTGTGGCATCGAGTGACATTGGAGGGGCACAGCTGTCCCCGTAAGGCTGTGGGAGCTCAGAGTGGCTCCAGGTCCCCAGCAGGGCTTCGTCCCCACACCTGCACCCCCCCAAGAGCTCAGGGAATGGCTCAGAGTGGGGCCAACTTGCACCCACCCACTCCCCAGGGAAGGGGTGACAGGTCCCCAGGTGGCCCAGTGTGTCTTACAGGTGGGAGTGTCCACCAGAGCTGGTGACTCCCTGCTGCCCCCAGGCCCCGTGGGGATGAGGCAGCTGGGCAGAGTGTCCTCAGGGAATAAAGCATTTTGTGAAAACCTGGAGATCAATTTATTTTTTAAAATAGCTGTTTCTAAGTGTTAACGAGAGCCTGGTCGACATCTGTCTCTTCAGGTCTCATTGCAGGAGGAAGTACCCGTGGCGGCAGTGTGTGGTTGAGGTGGGAGCAGAGGGCTTCTGTCAGGCATATGGACCTCAGCCCAGTCCCGCTCACACGCCCTCTGTGGCTCCCTATTGCCCCCAGCTCACATCTGCCAAGGCTGATTCATGCTGAGGGTTTTCAGGCCCTGGTGTGAAAGGCGGTGGGTGGCACTGCTCCTGATGGGTGGGACATTACACCCCCTTCTGAATCCTGTGGGGCCATCATCTAGCCCTGCCCGGTTCACTTCTCCTCCCACCAGGACAATGGCTGTGCATCTCCAACCCTCCTCTCCTCCCCCAAGTACCTACTGGGCGCCTACTGTGTGCCTCGCAGCCTGCCGGGTGCCCCTCTGGCCTCCTGGGGGAAGGGTCCCCGTACGGACCCACCTTGTAGCAAAAAAGCAAACCTGTCAAAGACTGAACAGGCAGGCACCAGAGAGGTGGCGGGACCCAGCATGTGGGGACATCCAGGCCACAACTGCCCCCGCCCTGTCCCTGCTCACACTCACACACCCTCTCTGGCTCCCCATGGCCCCACGGCTCCCCTGCAGTCCTGGGCCGCATCCTCCTCCTCCCACATGGATTCGTGTCCCCTAGAAGTTCAGGATGCGGCCTTATCTGGAAAGAGGATCTTTACAGATGGAATCAAGGTAAATGTCGAGGGCTGTGTTAGGGTGGCCTCTAAACCCAGCAGGGTGTTTGAAAGACACCCACAGAGCAGACGGTCACGTGATGATGGAGGAGAGGTGGCCACACACCAGACACTCAGGATTTCAGGAGTTACCAGGGGAAAGGCCGGGAGGATCCCCTCGCAGGGCCTCTAACCCTGCCGCACCTAGCCTCCAGAGGAGCGGCCTCCAAACTGAGAATAAATTCCTGTGGTTTAAATCATCCAATTTGTGGTCCTTGGTGACAGCAGCCCTGGACACGAGGTAAATGGGTCACTGAGCCAAATGCTTCACTAGTCTGACGAAAGGGTCCTATCATACAATCCCCCACTCGGGGTGGAGGGAGGGTGTGCGACAGGACCGCTCAGAGCTGGAGTAATCAATGTCCACTCTGATGGCCACTCAGGAATTGTGTCCACTGCTCCATGGCTAGAGGTGGGGGGTCCCTTGGAGGAGAGCTGGGAGAAGCCCTGCCGCGGGCACCGGGTGCCCTCTGAGGGCTCCAGTTTCCCCCTTTGCATGGCGGTGACCCACAGGCTGGCATCAGGACGGGCCCACGCAGGGGCTGACCCAGGCTCGTCCCCTTCTCTAGAGAACACGCGGAGCTGCTCTGGATGGTTTATTTCCCATCGGGGACAAGGAGGGCAGCGTCTGGGACCCCCGTGTGACAGCTCCATGACC